CAGCAGCCACATGATCAGATGTCTCTGTTGGACACGATGCATGCTGGGAGTGTAGATATATCTGCAGAAGATTGCCAGGGATGGATCAGACATGCAACAAGATTCTTTGTGCAAGAGCACATGAGGTGGGAGGTTTATGAGAACGTATGGCCAAATGCAGAAGACAGGGTGGACTAGCACTGTTGTATTTCTTTATGCGTACAAACAAGTGTGAATATGTGTAGTTTTGTATTGCATTGCTGGGATTACTTCAGTTTCATTTTGTGCACTTAGTATTACTCTTTGCAAACAGGGGAAAAAATCCTATTTAAGCATATTGCAGCACTGATTGATTTCTGACACTGTAAGGCAGCACATTCCACACAAGAAGAAGTAAACTTCTTTTTGTTGTAATGGAATCTTGGTTCATGATAAATCAAAGATATTTTTACAGAGACAATAGTGACTAATTGTAAAGGTACCTGTTGTTAGTGTTACTACTGGCAGACAAATGTTGTCAGTGTTTGGGTACACATGTTGAAACAGGACAATACAATACATTAGTCCAATAGTGTGAGGCAATAAATAGAACCGATATGATAATACTATAAAAATAATAATACATGTAAACATAGTTTGCTTTTTTTACAAGAGAATTTCACAGGGTGCCTTTAATATTTTGATATTATTGGGATTGCTCTGTCGGTTATTTAATATGTGATGGAAAAATGGTAACTTCTTTAGTATGTAATGTCTATTCACGGTGGTGTACTCTGCATAACAAATATTTATTTATTTTTTCCACCCTGAAACTGATAAAGTACAGTACAGTATCATATAGTACATTGTTTTTATCATTTATAATTCATAATAGTGCAAACACAGGGCAAATGGAATTGACATCTCTAGATCCTACAGTAAAAATGTAAGACAGTAACATTTAATTCCTGTACTGCTTTTATGGTTTACTTAAAGCCCCTGCAAGAAACTTTCAACACAAATTGAAAGTTGACAAAGGCGGTAGTGTTTAATTTCATTGATCAAGCATGCATTGTTGCTAAAAAGATGGTGGCGGTCAGGTGGCAACCACACACTCGTTCTATTCATCATTGGAATCCTTAATAGAGATTTTATCTATGCAGCACTCTCTTGCCAGGATGAACGGGACAGGTCAGGTCATGCCCAGGGCTAGGAAGGAGGAACTCAATGCAGCTAGAACCATGACATAAATTATTATTTTTATTAACTTATTTACTTTGCAGTGCACTATGCTGCTGGAATTTATGGGGGGAGGGGTTAGGTCAGGGATAAGGAGCGATCAAAGTTGCAGGTGTATGCTTTCTGTTGTACTGCTGTATCTTTACTGTCTAAGTCATAATGGTGTGACTATTGGAGTTAAAACATTAACTTATGAATTTACTTAGAAGGTCTTATTTATTTGCCTGTCTTTTAATGCCCTGGTATGCCTATATGTTATTCTATAGACAAATGTTATTTGTTGATGTACACTTGCAAACCTTGTGGAAAATAAAATAAAAGTTGTTCATAAAAAAAGAAGAAATATCCATATTCTTGCTGATAGTCTTGGAGGTAATATTGAGACATCAGTATTACATTGAGACCAGTTAAAAACTGATCAGGGATTTTAATATAGTTATAGCTATAGCTAGTGTCAATGATTCAGGATTTCAGTGTTTTGTCACAAAGTAACTTCTAGAAACTGAACTAATTACTACTGCAAATGCATTTTTGTTTTAGAAATAATTTGTTATTGTGCATTACTTTTAAGTTAAAATGCAAAGACAGTATACTGCTTACTTAGAGGATTGTCATTAAATATTTTTACCACTTGCAATATGAGAATTTCTGCATGTAAATTTCTGCATGTAAATTTTGACTGTATGAGTCATAACTGCAACCTTTCAGAGGGACTTACCAATAAGACAACCTATTAAGAACTTGCAGACTTGGTGAGGCATCATTTTATTCTCGTCTGAAAGCAGTGTCAGCTGTGTGTTTATTGAGATTAACCCATTAACCAGAAGCCCACATGCAGTGACCCTTGTGTTCATCGCAATAAATGTGATATTGCAGCCTCATATTCAGCTTATGAAGAACGGACTATGATATATTGTGGTGGAGGGCAGAGCTTTGTGTGTTTGTGGAGGCAAATTACAGCAGAGTCAGACACATTCATATTAGCCTTGTTCCCTGGTGTCCCTGGGGGCACACACGTGCACACAAATACACAGTGAGGTAGAAACACATGCAAAAAGCACACACAGATATACACTGCACTGGTGGCTATAAATATATTCCAGGATGAAGTCACATTCACAGAATCAAACACACACACCAACATGAGGTCACCACACTCCAGGCTTCCCAACACAAACATGCCACGGTGAATTCCCACACCAGACTAAAATAGACCCTGTCCGCTCCCTCTGACACCTCCAAAACACAAACTAAAAATCCTGCCTGCAGTCTCACCTCTGCACTCCCACCAACAAGACCTACGCTCACGATCTTGTCCTATGCATTACCTCTTTTTTCAGTCTCCTCTTTCACTCACCTCCAACATTAAAACCCAGACATGGAATGTTTTATCTTGCCCTGTCCCTCCTTGGCACCTTCATTCCCGGCATCTAAGAATAGGGACCTCCTGTTTTATATCCCTGCTGCCCTCTGTAAAAGACTCACTGGTTTTATAGACTCTGGTGCCACACGCTCATGACATCTGATCTAACCTGAAACACATCTAATGATTTCTGCTGTATGTCATCGTCTATTTCTCAACATTAAAAAAAAAAGAAAAACATATTTTTTATTCTCTCCCCTAAGCAGTTGCCAGTACCATTGTATGTACGCAATGCATGTTTTGCACTGTCATGCTAATCCTGTCTCGTCATCCAGTGTATTAAGGTCTGTCTTGTCTTGTCTCACCTGTTATGTCTCGTCTCACAGAAGAAAAAATAAATTAAGGGAATATCATTGAAAATAATAGAAAACAAAGACTTACTAGAGCTGGAGGTGAGTGGGCAGGTCGGGGCTACAGGGGCCATAGGAACAGGGGGGGATAATGGAGGAAGGGAGGCAGGACAGTTTGGTGAGAGAGGCCTGGCGGAGGTGAAGAACAGCTGGATGCTGTGGTGCTGGAGGACATGGCAGGGCAGCGTTGTCAGACACCTGGGTGCAGGCAGAGAGACGGGACAGCAGGGGGACAGACAGGGAGTCAGGGAGGCCAAATAAAGTCAACTAGAATTAAAAACTGCTCGGAGGTTGGATTAAAAAAAAGGCTGCACATCTTCACTGCTGGCCAGACAACTGACAAGTGACAAGTGACAAAGTGACTATGGTATTTTACAGATGGTGTGTTTACAACAAGAATGCTGGAGGATTAGAGGTACCCTGAGGTGTTTTTGACCACTAGTGGTGCTGTGGTGCACACGGATGGACACGTAAACACATGCGATACAATACACATTTCTGCCAAGTTTCATGCAATTTTATTCTGTTAGATGAAGACATTAACACACCATGAAATGCTGCACCAACATAACACAGTGAGGAAGACGACTGTAAGCAAGCAAACACAGATATTAACAGTGCAGGGTTTTAATTATTCCAAAAACGCTCATGAGCCATTCATTTCTAAAAGAGTTCAATTAAGCTGGAACGCTCCTCACCATGATAGGACAGAAACAACACTTTTCAAAGACTTAAATAAACAAAGGGTTTTGGGACTAACCTGGGGTTCAGCTCTATGGACTGAGGGAGAAATTTCTCCACTGCTTCATCAGGAAATGCTTGCGATAACTTAGGGAGAAAAGTTCAACAACAATTAAGAAATAACAAATACTAAATCAAGCACATTGTGTCATTACACGTCTATGCTGATGATACCAAGCTATACATTCCTACAAAATCTGACTGTAAGAGAAAATATCTGTTAACCATCTTTAAAGCAGAAACAGAGGGGGAAGTCGTTAATGCATTCATTCATCGTGTTATGGGGCCTTTACACTTGTAGGTCAATCTGTGGAATAAACACTACTAAAAAGGTGTTACCAGTCGCTGAACTCGAGTGTAGCCCAAGATTGTTAATATTATCAATCAAGGAAGTGCGTTTCAGAGATGGTCCTGACCTGGGACAGCAGCTCCGTCAACTCCTGCTGAGTTCTGACAACGGATGACACGAAACCATCTGACCAGCTTGCCTGGAGGCGGGAATAAAAAGGAGGAAGGATAAGGAGAAAGGTAAGGTGGAGGTGGTGGATGAAGTAGAAAACCAGGTAGAATAAGGGGGTAAAAACATGAAGAGATGAACAGAGAACATTTGGAAAAGCAAGCAGGAGTCAAAAGCATGTGTTGTTCTGTGTTTACACTAGACCCACCTCGAACACATATTCACTGGTGTCTTCAGACTTGTGTGTCACTCCTCTCAGCACCACCTTCTCAATCCCCACTGAAAGGAGCACAGATTGTTAACCACGATTCACACGTTTGAGACAGTTGCTTTATGACATCAGTCATTTAGGGTTGATTAGCTTGAATGGCCTGGAGGGATTTAAACTCTGTACTATATTATACTATATATTCACTAATTAATCAGATGAGGACAAAACCAGAAGCTAGTTTAATCTCGTCATCGGGTGTAACTTCACTGACTGTGATGTGAACTGGCCAGTCGACTGCACTGTTCATGCTTTGTCTCAACTCCTTTGCCCCATAGCAGTGTACAGTTAGTATAGTGTACAGTGCAGAAGGTTGGAGGGATTGTTGACCATCCTCAGTGACTACATGTCAATGACTTCTCCAGGTGCTAAGATTTCAGTCCTTTATTATGTCGCTGACTAACTCTTTTTCCCCCCATCTACATGCATTTTAATTGTTCAAAGATGGAGGACAGCGCTATGAGTGGGTGGCTGGTATTCCAAGACATGCTGTCATGTGACAAACATATGCGTCCTGCGCTGCAGAAAAACAACCTGGTTACAAGACATTTCCTACTGTTCTTAATCATATGAGCTTTCTGGAAGTCTTGTTGTCACTATATTACTTGGAAATTGAATATGGGCGAGTTGGGCATATTGAGATGGGCCTTTTTTCACAATTTTTCACCATATTAAAGACTAAACATTTTAGGGGTGTACAATATTACTAATATATACTGTCAGATGACAAATACTGACAGATGAGAATATATATTAATACCGTGATATAAAAGTACATAATATTTATGAATTTAACTATATTGCCCATTGAAAAAACATTAAATCAGCTAACTGAAAGAATAATCCACTAGTATTCTGATAATATCCTGCTAATTCAGTTACTCTTGTTACTCTCCATCTTCATCTACCAATGAGTCAAACGCACCAGACTAATCTGTGTTGCTTTCCGATTCATCCTTGAACATTTGTCAGCTACCCTCAGTATTGTGAACCATTTGATGCTAATCGACACTTGGAGATCTCTGGCTCTGTACGCTCACTGTCCAGCAGTAACCTGACTGAACATTTTGTCCTTTAGATAAGGCTCCAATCTTGGCATTAACTACCGTATACTATATGTGCACTCTAATTTTCCATCTGGACAAAAACTCTGTCCACAGCTGCTCCTGCACAACTCATTTAGGATGGTACTGGATTCAACTTCCCCCACTTCTGCTGTCTGTCTGGTCCAACCTGTACTCTCACCACTGGCTGCCTGTAGCTCTTTGTATTACATGTAAAACACTGGTACAGGCCTTCAAGACTATTAACACAGTTACATCTTAAGACTCTCTGAGTAATAACTCAACCTAAGGTTATACTGGCTATTGACTGATCTATTGTTGGTTGATCTTTTTAGCCAACTTTTTGGACGGTTTTTGTCATTTAAGTTTGTTAATTTAATGGTGTGCCTCAAAAGAAGAGTGCCGCTGCTTAGCAGCACAGTACACACACTGAGCCAACGAACAAGTGAGAGGAAAAACAGCTGTAGAGCCGCAATATTTTCACATTTAACTTAGTTAGAGAAGTTAGAGTTGCTGACTGTTGGAATGGTGAGTTTTATTTTGTTTCTGTCGAGTTTGAATGAAGTGTGTTTTAAGCTTGCTCAACAAGGCAATTAAGCTGGTTTTAGTTCAGTAAACAGAGAAACCTTAATTCAGAAAGTGTATGTGTAAGTGTAAAGTGTATTTTTCTGTTTAATGAGGAGTATTTTTATATATTTCCTTTCTTTTCTTGACATTTGTGGATTTATTTTGTTTATTAAAGCTATGAGAGCTTGTTCCATGTAGGAAACTACGAAGCTGAAACTCTGAAACTGCTGCTACTACTACTTTTGTACTTAACACTGTTTACAATAAATATATATATCTGTCTGTCTGCACTCACATTTGAGTGAAGACTGCACGCATTCACACCTGTGCAGAGGCAGGTTACGGGTGCTCCACTGTCATTAGATCAATGTCATTAGATACATGGTGAGTTGAAAAATAGTCGGTACAGTTTGTGTGAGTGTGTGTGTGTGTGCGCGCAAAAGACCTCCAGGTATCGATTCAGACATATTAGACTCCAAAACTCTCCATTTGAAACCACATGAGGCATGCAGGAACAAGCAGCAGGGGAGGGGGAAACATGAGTGAAAGGGAGGAGACAAATAAAAAGGGGGATAAAGGAGTAAAGAGAGAGGAGGTGCTTTCACCACACACACACACACACACACATCCCTCACCACCTTGCTGTGTGCCTGTTAGACAGCAGCTGTAGAAGGCTCTAAATGCCGCCTGCCATTCTTACTAATCTAGGCTGCCACACACACACACACACACACACACACAACTGTACTCATGCACTTTATGAAGTCCAGGAGTGTGTGTGCAGGACATGATGATGTAATCGAAAGAAGAGTTTCAGTTATCTGCTATAGAGATAATACTGTATATTGATAAATATCCCTCACGTTTCCTTACTGTTTTTATTACTTTACAACTACAGTTTAGGTGTGTGTGCTAGAAACACACATCATAAAACCAACCCATGAGGCGTGGCTCATTCTGCCTGGCCTGAAGTAGCCAACGCTGTAAACTTAATTGTGTGTGCCTGTGAGAATGTGTGAGTACACTTCTCTGCATTTGTGTTTTATGTGTTTCTACACGCTGAATACAACTGTGTGTGTGTGAGTGTGTGTGTTTTCTGCTGGTGACAGCTATGTGGTATGACCATGAGCTAGTGAGATAGTTGAGTATTGTGTTACCAAAAGAGGTACGGGGCCAAGACAATAACAGACTGGACTGGAGAGGCTAGCCCCACCTAAAACCACATACTGTACACAGGCGGGTCACTGGGTGATTGATCTAAAATGAATAATAAATAAAAAAATAAATGTGTTTAGTATATGCTATCATGCTGGGGTAAGATTTTTACTCTTTTGCCCCATTTATTTTGAAAGACCCTCCCTCATTCACGGTCTATGTAACTCAACCACAGCTGTCTCTCTGTCTCTCTCTCGCTCAAACAGACACAAACCAAAGGACTGTGGAGCAGTTTGACCGGGTTACATTTCTCCAAATGTTGATTCCTAAAAGTTTATTACGAAAACCACAGTGCCTGATTCATTTTTAATTGCCGCTTACCGTGGGACAATTTACACCTTTTTCAATCGATCAGTCCTTTTTTACAGCAGACATCTCGTCATAGCAGGAAATGCAGGTAAAATTAATTTCGTTAAAAGGTTTTATCCATTCTCTCTATTTAAATTGGCACAGATTAAAAGCACTGTGTAGTATGGTTTGCTCACAGTTACAAATCAGTATCAGTATCACAGAACTCTGCAATTCTATGCAACTTTTTAGCCTTTTTTAGCTAATCGTTTTTGTTTTACTACACATTTATAGAATCATATAAATCATTTACATTGATTTTGCTTTGTTTCTAGTAGCAAGTAGAGTTGTTGGAGTTCAAAACAGAACAAAAACGGAAGAGGATATCGGACATACATTTGTAAGACAACTCCAAGTGAATGCTAATGTGGCTCCATGTCTGCTGAATGTGTTAACACGTTAAGTAACAACTTAAAACGTCCCTAATCAATATTTCTATATTACAATAGTCAAATGACTATGTGTAATGTGACAGGGGTGGTATGAATCAGCAGTTCCCCTCAGTGCTACAAAACATTTTTAGTGTCTTTCAGCTCATTGTTTTGGTTTTGTAGCTTTTAACTGTTTTGGTTCACTCTTCCTACTCCTTCAAATTGGACCATCAACACCAACCACATTATCAAAAAGGACCAAACTGGGGCGGAAGATCACTTAAGCCACCAACATCAGTGGTAGTTCAAGTGCACCTTCCACCACCTCTTCCAGC